CGCGGGTGACGCGCTGGGGCGGCATGATCTCCACGCCGGACGCCGTGCTGCAGGCGGTGATCAAGCGCTCGCTGGTGGAGAGCGGCTGCCCGGCGTCCATCACCAACGAGCTGATCGAGAACGCCCACGAGCGCAACTGGCCCCAGGGGCTGGCCACGCTGGAGACGCGCCAGATGAACCGGCGCTACTACGAGAACTACGTGGCCAAACGCATCCCCGGCAAGCAGGCCGTGGTGGTGATGGCCTGCGAGAACCAGCACATGGGCGAGGACATGGTGCTGGAGCCGGGGCTCGTCATGATCTTCGCTCACGGCGTGGAGGAGATCTGAAAAAAGGTGAAAAAAAAGATGTTTCAATTGAAAATATCCGCCTCGGGACGGCGGCGGGGTGGTTTTCCCTGACTCGGCGTTTTTAGGGTTTGGGATTTTCGCTCACGGCGTGGAGGAGATCTGAAAAAAAAGATATTTCAATTGAAAATATCCGCCTTGGGATGACCTGACTCGGCGTTTTTAGGGTTTGGGATTTTCGCTCACGGCGTGGAGGAGATCTGAAAAAAGGTGAAAAAAAAAAATATTTAAATTGATAATATCCGCCTTGGGATGACCTGACTCAGCGTTTTTAGGGTTTGGGATTTTCATGATTTTCGCTCACGGCGTGGAGGAGATGTGAAAAAAAGCGAAAAAAAAGATATTTCAATTGAAAATATCTGCCTCGGGATGACCTGACTCGGCGTTTTTAGGGTTTGTGATTTTCACTCACGGCCTGGAGGAAATCTGAAAAAAGGTGAAAAAAAAGATATTTCAATTGAAAATATCCGCCTCGGGACAACCCGACTCGGCGTTTTTAGGGTTTGGGATTTTCATGATTTTCGCTCACGGCGTGGAGATCTGAAGAACAAAAAAAAAAAACAAAACAAATCCACCTTGGGATGGCAGGGGGGTTTTCCTGGACTTGGCGTTTTTAGGGTTTGGGATTTTCGCTCACAGCGTGGAGGAGATCTGAAAAAAGCAAAAAAAAAAAATTTAAATTGAAAATATCCGCCTTGGGACGGCGGGGTGGTTTTCCCCGACTCGGCGCTTTTAGGGTTTGGGATTTTCGCTCACGGCCTGGAGGAAATCTGAAGAAAGAAAAAAAAATTTCTAAAAATCCACTTTGGGATGGCTTGTGGGGGTGGGTTTCCCAGACTCGGCATTTTTAGGGTTTTTGATTTTCGCTCGCAGCGTGGAAGAAATCTGAAGAACAAAAAACAAAATCCACCTCGGGATGGCTGTGGGGTTTCCCGGACTCGGTGTTTTTAGGGTTTGTGATTTTTTTTTTTGCTCGTGGCGTGGAGATTTGGAAAAAAAAAAAAAATCAACGTTTTCTCCATCCTGGGACGGCAGGAAAAATTGAATTTCTGGACTTGGAATTTTCGGGTTCTTCGCTTGATTGGAGCCGTTACAAACCCAGCGAGGAGGGGGCGGCGGGGGCTCCAGCACTGCCAGACCCCTCGGGGGTCCCCCCAAATCTGCCGAGCTCCCTCTCCTCGCCCCCTCTGGAATTCTGGAATTCCCCCCGGGCATCCCCCACCTCCTCCCACTCTGCTTCCTCCACCCTTGCTGTTGCTTCCCAGACACTCGTGATCGTGGATCTGTATTTTATTTTCTTTTGTACTTCAATTTTTTTTGTTTTTTTTTTTTTTTTGACCTTTTTTTTTTTTTTTTTCCCCTTTTTTTTTTTTTTTTTTTTCAAGTACCGTAGGCAGGCGCCTCTGGCCTGGGTCCGTGGGACTCGTTGGGAATTTAATTTATTTGCGTTTCTTTTGGGTTATTTTTTACCATTTTTCTCCTCCGGTGTCGGTCCCGGCAGATCCGGCGGGAGGCAGGGATTGAAGTGATCAATAAACAGAATTCTGGTTGCTTTATCCCCGCTTTGGGGGCCTCCTCCTGCACCCCAAAACCCTCCCCGTGTCGGGGGGGCTCGGTTTTGGGGTAAAAATGGGTGAGTTTGGGGCTGTCCTCCCCATCCTGGGGCATCTGGGGATCGATAAATGTCACTCCAGGGAGGGAATGGGGGTGACGGAGGGTCTGGGGGCTCCGAAGCCCCCCAGATGTGCCCCCCAAAAAGGATGAACTTGTCCCCACCCCTAAAAGAGCTGGGACCAGAGTGGGGTCCCCACTTCTGCTGCCCTTAAAAAGATGAGAGAATAGAGGGGGGTCCCTGCTGCTGTCACCCCAAAAAGAGCTGGGATCGGGTCTGGGGGGTCCCCACTGCTCCCACCCCAAAAAGAGACGAGATTAGGGGGGGTCCGCATTGTTCCCACCCCAAAAAGAGCTGGGACTGGGTCTGGGGGGTCCCCATTGTTCCCACCCCAAAAAGAGCTGAGATTAGGGGGGGTCCCCATTGTTCCCACCCCTAAAAGAGCCGGGACCGGAGTGGGGTCCCCACTTCTGCCCTTAAAAGATCAGAGAATAGAGGGGTGTTCCTGCTGCTGTCACCCCAAAAAGAGCCGGGATTAGAGGGGTTCTCACTGTTTCCAACCCTAAAAGAGCTGGGATTGGGTTTTGGGGGGTTCTTGCTGCTCCCACCCCAAAAAGAGATGGGACTGAGACTGGGGGGTTCCTGCTGCTCCTGACCCTAAAGGAGCTGGGATTAGGGGGGTTCCCATTGTTCCCACCCCAAAAAGAGCTGGGACTGGGTCTTGGGGGGGTTCCCCACTGTTCCCACCCCAAAAAGAGACGAGATTAGGGGGGGTCCCCATTGTTCCCACCCCAAAAAGTTGGGACTGGGTCTGGGGGGTCCCCACTACTCCCACCCCAAAAAGAGCCGGGATTAGGGGGGGTCCCCATTGTTCCCACCCCAAAAAGAACTGAGATTAGGGGGGTCCCCATTGTTCCCACCCCAAAAAGAGCTGAGATTAGGGGGGTCCCCATTGTTCCCACCCCAAAAAGAGCCGGGACTGGGTCTGGGGGGTCCCTGCTGCTCCCACCCCTAAAGGACCCAAAAAGGAACTAATCCTAAAGGATTAGAGGGGGTTCCCCAATGTTCCCACCCCTTAAAGACCCGGTACCGAGGCGTGGGGACTCTCTGATCCTCCCGCCGTTAACGGAGCCGGTACCGGAGGGAGAGCACGTGTTGTTACCGCTGCTGCCGCCGTTAAGGACCGGTAACCGAGCGAGGATCCCTATGGTTACCCCCGTTAGAGGAGCCAGGACCTGTGGGGGGATCGGTGCTGTTGCCGCCGTTACAGGAGCCGGTACCGGGGATTGGGGGATCTGTGTGTTCCTGCCGTTAAAGGAACCGGTACCGGGGATTGGGGGATCTGTGTGTTCCTGCCGTTAAAGGAAC